AGCTCATATCGCAACAGATGGCGCTGATTTCTGGTCGCCACCTCACCAGAGGTCATCCATAGCGACTCCTCTGGCTGACCAAGGCAGGAAGCTTGAGCCCTTTACAGGTATTAGACAGCTACCACCAGAAAGCATTGTCCACATTGCGTCCGATATTGTGGGGGTTAGGGAGCAGACTCACAGATGGCGCTGACGTCGCTACTCCATACTCCGACGATGTAGTTGGGATCGTAACAAATGGGTTTATAACTCTGGAGGATAAAGCATCTGTTTTCAGTCCTACGCTGTGGCTTGTTGAGCATTAAACCGTTCCTCCTTGTTTGTGTTACATTTAATTTTTTGAAGAAGTTGTTTGGCTTAACATCCTCCAAATTGTTCGCGCATTTGTTATTTATAATATACGTTAAATAGGGATAGATTAGCTAGTAGTATAATGTAAGAAGGCCATAGTGGGGAACATAATACCTGATTTTAGACAAAAATCTAAAGTCTGCAAACTACATGCACAATGAAATGACTTTAATATTTTTCATTTTGCAAACTAGGTAATTCGTGCATGTGAATGCGACTTTCCACAGTCAACCAGTTTGTAAAGGCTTATAATAACAACAATGATGAAACGTGATATAATGCCCTAGTGCTTCAGTGAAGGTGAATGAAAGATCTAATTTATGTTTTAGTGTATTAAAAAATGTTCTTTCTCAAGGTGCTGTATACAATGTTGTGGATTGTACCACATCAAATTGTTTGGATGTGTGATAATGGTTTGAAAGAATACTTAGGAGGTACAAGCACTTTGTCCCCAAGAGTGTAACACAATGTAACATAATGCAGTGTTGACTGTTTTAATGTGCAAAGTAAATGATGATTTTTGTACTGTGATTTGTGGATTTGTATTCACTGGATTTGTGAACCCCTTGAGGAACATGAAGTAGAGGAGGGTAGAAATAACCTAAGCTACACACAGAGATCACACTAACGTGATGCATCAAATGAACAAATCCACAAGGGCCGTGACGAGGATTCGAACCTGCGTCCGGGAGCATCCTTATGGATTTGTTCAACCTAAGCTACTCTATCCTTTTGAGATGCATCTTTTTGTTCCAGGTAGCGAATCTTAAACAAAAACAACATTAAGGTTTGCAATGATTTAAGGCAATTTTTCATATCGTATAATTCGATAGAGATTGAAAGCTTATACTATCTCTTGCGTAAATGCTGGAACTATTTAACGTATTTTTTCTTGCAAAGAGAGGATCAAAAGTCCTAATTATTTATAGAAAAAGCATGTATTATTATACTTACCTGTTTATAATGTATATTGAGGAACTTATTCCTTGAAAAAATAAGCTACGTCTAACAGCTTGGTTATTAGACCAGACCAAAAGATTTAAGGTGCACTTAAAATAGTGCTTAAAAATAATTTATATATAAAGAAAGCCATAACATTTTATGTAATTATTTTTAAGTAAAGGAAAAATATACTTTTTTCTATGTAGTTATATAAGCATTATTATTTTGTAAATAATTACATATATGAAATTTTATTTTTTGCTCCTGTATATAATATACAAATAATAATTACTTATTGTGCTTTTAAAGAAAACGGGTCCTTTTATTTTTTGAGTAGGGGTAACTGACAATTAGCCTTCATTTAATAGTCGATTACAAGAAATTTTAGCCAAAAATCCAGTTTCCAAACTAGGTAGCGCAGGAGGCCTGGTCGAGGACCAGGCCACGGGTATGCTAAGCTCTGAAATCATCACAAGGTAACGCATGCATGTAAATGTGACTTTTCACATTAATCAATATTATATTTCCTGGAAAATTGTAGAGTTGTAAAGGCATAAGGAAAATAATATTGTAACTGGATCAGCTATATAACACACATGCAACTTGTATAAAGGGTCATATTATTATTATTATTATAATTTATAAATATGCTTACACATATATATTTGAAGGTAACAGGTATTTCATATTAAATAAAGCCGCTAAAACGCAGAGCTTTTCGGGTAAAACCTACAATTCAATTAACAAAATTTAATTGTAATAACTCATTGTGTTAGGGGACAGGTAGTCAATGTATGTCAAGCTTTTACCGAGGTTTCTTCCACCAGGGTCGAATTACTGACCCTCCCCAGGATGCAATCCCATAACATACTGATTAACTCCTAAAAACCTATTACTGTTAAGTGAATAGCGGCATTAGGTGATAGGAAACCACACTCAATCGTCTATTTCTCGCCCGGGATTTGAACCCTGAATTCTCAGTTGTGCAACCGGTCCTCAGACTAAGTCCATTCCATCCAGTGGTCGGCCCTAAAGACGTTACGGGCTCACCATAGCCCGTGCTACATGGACACTTCGTTCTGAGTAGCTAAATCTGAAACAACAACAACCTAAAGACGCATTCAGCAATTTTAATTAACATGCTGTCCATTCAAAAATAAATTTTCTCAAATATAAATTAATATTGTTATTTATTAGTATATTGAGCACATTTAGGCATTGGTTAGATTAGGTTAGGTGTATAGGTTCTGTTGGCGATTATTTGTATTACGTGGGTGAAGCATGTATTTTGTTGTGGTTCGAACAAACGTCGTCAGCGATCCACTTGTTCCGGAAGTGTTCGGAACTTCATCAATTGTGAGTCGTTTTTCATTTATAGGGGGGGGGGACCTTAGACAATCCGCCGGCTTCTCATCTTCGTCGAGGTCACTAGTGTTATGTCAGGTAAAATTATATTAAGTATATGTAATGTAGTGTATATTATTAAAAAAAAAAAGATCGAAAGCTTATACTATTTATAGAGTAAATACTGAAACTATTTAACATGTGTTTTTCCTTGTAAAATGACGACTGGAACAATATGGAAGATAATTGAGAGTATTGTCTAAAACCTAAATAAACAATAATATGCTTTGAAGCCCATAAAGATATTTATTGAGGAAAAAAATTCCCTTAAAAATAAGCTACGTCCAACAGCTTGGTTGTTAGACCAGTCCAATGAAATCTGGTTCCGCCTGAAACAGTATCTAAAAAAAAATTATATATGAAAAAAGGTACAAATATTTTATGTAACTTTTTTAAGATATAAATTAAAAAAACATATTTTTTTTAGTGGTTTTTAGGAACTATATTTTACAAAATAATTTGTAGAATCTTTATTATGTAACGTTTGTTTTTGAGTCTCTTTTGGATAGATACCGTCTCACATAGTTGTTGTCCAGCATGATGATCACACGGACACGGCAGCTGAAACAGCACGTGAAAAGCTTGAAATAAATTGAGTTAGATATGGGCAGTTATATCTCTGTTGTAAAAGCCGCAGTATTAAGTTTGGAAATTGGGAATATAGTATGAGTTATGATATCTCCGTGGTGTAGTGGTAAGACACTCACCTGGCGTTCCGCGAGCGCTTTGTCATGGGTTCGTATCTCTGCCGGGGTGGATTTACTGGGCGCAAATCCTTAACTGTAGCCTCTGTTTAACTCAACAGTAAAATGTGTACTTGGTTGTAAAAACGATTCTTCGCGGCGGGGATCGTATTCCAGGGACCTGCCTGAAACGCTACGCGTACTAGTGGCTGTACAAGAATCTTGAGGTTATCTTGAGATGATTTCGGGGCTTTTTAGTGTCCCCGCGGCCCGGTCCTCGACCAGGCCTCCACCCCCAGGAAGCAGCCCGTGACAGCTGACTAACACCCAGGTACCTATTTTACTGCTAGGTAACAGGGGCATAGGGTGAAAGAAACTCTGCCCATTGTTTCTCGCCGGCGCCTGGGATCGAACCCAGGACCACAGGATCACAAGTCCAGCGTGCTGTCCGCTCGGCTCCCTTAGTTTGGTGGGTTACTTTTTGAAGAATGTAACAACTCTTGTATATACCTCAAAAAAAAAAAATAAATAAAAATCTGTCGGTCTGTCCGCCTTGCTAACACGACGAGTCAGCATTTGGCTACCAAATCACGACGTGATTTGGTAGCTAAGTTTGCTCATTTTTGTTAGGGAGCTGCGAGTGTGTTTAAGGTTCTTTACATATATTTCAGCATATACAGATGTGTATATATGAATATTGTGTAGTATTTAAGAGGCAGCAATTTAAGTAGTGTAAAGATTTCAAAGACAGCGATCCAAGGAAGTGGCGGGGAAAGTATAACATTTCATTTGGACAGTGGATTGTTTCATCGAAATTTTTCCTATTGGGCCTGGTCGGCGGTTCGAGTTTCCTAGTGTCTAAGTGAATGAAATTTTAAATTCCACGATAGTGTGGTAGACAAATATATATATAAATATATATATATATATATATATATATATATATATATATATATATATATATATATATATATATATATATATATATATATATATATATATGTTCCTTAAGTAATGTCGTCGTCTCATCTACTGGTTCTGGTTTAGTCTTCAATTCCTTAGGTACTTTCGTCTTTCGAAATAATACATCTTCAGCAGGATCCTTTTTTGGTTTATACATTCTTCTTGAATATATATTGAGTAATCTGAAAATACTTAGGAATTTCCTGTTTCATTTTTCTTCGTGGAGAGACATTGTCACATTATTCATCACGTTAATTGCTTCGTGATTTACTGCACCTCACGTCGCTGGAAGACAGAAGAGACATGATTACCACATACAAGATTATCAGGGAAATTGACAGAGTAGACAAGGATAGATTATTTAACACGGGTGGTACACGCACAAGGGGACACAGGTGGAAGCCGAGTACCCAAATGAGCCAAAGAGACGTTAGAAAGAACTTTTTCAGTGTCAGAGTAGTTAGTAAATGGAAGGCACTTGGAAGTGATGTGGTGGAGGCTGACTCCATACACAGTTTCAAATGTAGATATGATGGAGCCTAGTAGGCTCAGGAATCTGTACACCAGTTAATTGACGGTTGAGAGGCGGGACCAAAGAGCCAAAGCTCAACCCCCGCAAGCACAACTAGGTGAGTACACACAAATAAATAAAACACCTTAATTTCGTGTGTGTATTTCCGAGCTGGTCCGAAGTAACAATTTAGTTTCATTGCTTCTTCTTCTTCTTGCTGTCTTCTTCTAAGAAAGTGTGCCAGGCGCCTAGTATGTACAGCAAGATCCACTTATTGAAGACATTGTTCATGAAATATGTCTGAGAAAAAAAAGAGAGATTCCTAAATAAGTAAAACATGCCTCACTTTCCGTATATACATTAATTAAATAAGCATGAAATACTCAAAAGTGGCAGAAAACCAGTTGTGTTTAATTGAATAATACCTACGAATTAACAATTAATTTTCGATCATATGCATACATATATGCAACAATATACTACTGATATTATATAGTAATATCTACGGACTTTTATTATGTGGATACAATTTGGTATTGGGTGTTAGGACTACCAACGAATCTTTCCACTGGTGCCCACTGGATGAGTGTGGGGGGGGGCATGATAGGCAAATTATAATTCTATGTAACTAGCTTAACTAAGAAACTTTCCCTCTTTGTGTTAGGAGCCTCTTGAGGTCACGGTGATGTGACCTCAAGATAATATAATTGATCGATAAACTGTGGAAATACAGTTGATTTATTCGTTAACAAATTATGCAACCAGGTCATCAATAACTTGCTTAGCTAAATTAATTATGTGCCTCTATGCTTTTTCACTACCGCTCGGGATGGGTATGGGTGTGCATAATAAGTTAAACTGAAAGCTGTATGTATACTTACGTCCTGAACATTATGTAAATTATGTATATACATCAAGAACAAGGGAACACTTCTAAGTAAATATATAACTTGCACTGAAGGAGTTTTTGGTGGGATTATCAGTGGCTTATCGGCCACTGGAGGGTTAATGCCACCACAAAAGCTCTGACTAACCAGCAAGTATACATATTCACTATTAAACATAATCCAAGACTAGAATAAACTCTTGAGTTTATATAAGAAATAAAACAAGATACACCTTTCTGTGTATATATATTTAATTTGTAGCTATGGGAGAACAGTACACTGGGTACTGAAGGCTTTGCAAAAGTACTTATTATTATTAACATCTTTATTGACAAAATTAACTACAATTTTGCCTAATCTGAGGATTTCAATTAAGTCTTATTAAAGTGAGGATAATGCTGGTATTCACTGTCACGCAGGAAAGAGGGTCATACACAAGACAATAGGTCTAAACTGTAGGCTGAAGCAATATATATCATAGTCACAATCAGTGTAAAACTACTGATCGCTGTAATAATAATCGCTCTTGATACTTTGCTAATAATCCACGTTTATTAATTTACTTTTGTATAAAGAAAATAGTATTGTACAATTAATTTAACATTATTTAAATATAAAATATTCAAATCTCATACAAGTTTTACATATACTCACTTGGATAGCGTGACTCCAGTAGCCACTAGAGCGCTGAGAGTACCCGAGTGTTGACAGAGCACTACTGACATATTCCGATGCTGTTGGAACAGTGGCACCTGTTTAAAAATATAAATGATTATTCAGTATATAACTTCAATGAACGTATAAATAATCCAAACCGCAGACAGAGACATATATGACCGATTAAAATATTACCCTTCAATATAGCATTAAATTAATTAAAATCAACATCTAATTCTTTTTTTACACTGAAGGGTAAAGGAACAAAAGACTTCTGATTCATGGTTAGCTAGTTGAGAGCTTTCCTTTCCTATAGCTTATGGTAAGCCTTACCCACTAATTTTCCTTGGGACACGACTCACAAATCGGTTAACTACCAGCTATCCAATTATTGGTGGGTGAACAGAGGCAAACATTCAAGGATTGGCGACTAGTTAATCATCCCAGACCAAGATATGAACGTAGACCCACTGAGCCTCGAGGGACTGTATCTCTACATCTCTGAGCATTACAGGCTCTGCGATGTGTATATTGTTATCTTGAATTCCCATAGTGTACGCCCTATGGACTTATATTTAAAAAGAGTCCAGATTCCCATTGAGTTGTACAGAACGTGGCCAAGATCCTTTGGTTAGTGTTCGTCAGGTATACAATCTTCCAATTGTTCTAGACATTTTATTATCATTATTTATATGTTTAATTTCCTGTGGCGAATACAATTATATAGCCATATCTGTGACTTACACTGACCCCTTTAAATATAACACATTCTATACCATACAGGAAGATATTTTGTAACATGCCTCGGAGAAGACTGGTTCCTCAGGCAAAACATCTGTTAAATATTGTAATTTGTTTTTACCAAAAGCGATTCGAATGAGATACCAAAACAAAAAAATAGTCTTCATTGTGTTTTCTGTGCCTCATGAAGTAAAATATATATGATGGTACACTACTTTGGCTAGCAGCCTACATCACTTACAGGGGGTTGGAACGCCTAATTAGTATGATTGATATTCCACTTACTGAGATTGGAAAGCCCCCAACTAGTGAGGTTGGTATTGATTTTACAATGACTGTAAATCCTAACTAAAATGGGGTTGATACCGAACTTTCTGAGGGTGGAAAGCCTAATTAGTGGGTGGGATCGGTACTCGACTTACTTGGGCTGTGAATATATGCAGAGTATTTGGTCATGTTGGTGGATACGTAGCCGGGGTTGATGGTCTGAATAGTGAGGCCTGTGTCCCGGTACTCCCAGTGTAGGGACGACGAGAAGTAGTCCACGAAGGCCTTGTGAAAAAACAAAAACAGATAACTTTCTTCCCTATATATATATATATATATATATATATATATATATATATATATATATATATATATATATATATATATATATATATATATATATATATATATAATATGACAATATTTAACCACACTATTTTCACATTATTCACCATGTGTTAATTCAATTTTGATTTACATAGACACATCTATACATATAAAGATGAACTAAATTTTAAAACTTGTTTATTCTAAACAAAATTGACTTTTTGGTGCACAAATAGCTAATATTGTTGTTAAGCCTAAACAAAGATTGGGACCTTGAGGGTCATGGTACTTAAATTTGTCTAAGCTCAGATGCTTTATAAAGTATTTCTACCTGTACTGTTTCTTAATCAACAAATTATACTGGCACTACTACTGATAATCTGATATAGTGTACCTTTGTGGCAGAGTATATCCCCAGCGAGGGCGTAGGACTGTGGGCAGACATTGATGCTATGTTGATGATAGCCCCTTTGTTGCGTGCAAGCATGCCTGGCAACACTAGTTTGGTCATGGCGGGCACAGACCCCACGTTGACATGAACGTGGGCCCAGATCTCTTGGTCCGTCACATTACCAAACTTGGTTGGCGGATTTAAGCAAACCCCGACGTTGTTTACTGCAATGGTAAAACGTGACATTTTGTTTAAAGAATTTTTGTTAAACCATGAAGCGCCTGATTAACTGGAACTTGATTTCTTTTATCATATTTTCTTTTACGAATGAAAGATTCACAAATCAAAGCTTATTAAATGTTTCCTAGCATCAACATTTAGTGTTCAACATAATTGCATTATCATTTTCAATATATTGAAATAAACATAAACATATATATATAAACTATATAAATATAAATAATATATATAAACATTATTACATAACTATCTCATTATTTGATACACGTAAGACTGTTTACAAACGTCACATCTGAGTTACCAAACACTCACCCAAAACTCCTATCTCCTTATCTTGTAGGTGTTTGGCTATTTCTTCGTAGACAATGGGGCCCAGACTGAAGTCCACCGGGATAGTTTCAACCTCAACTCCATATTTCTTGCCTTTAATGGGGCATACTTTATTATTGTTTGCAGTTATTATTAATATTATATTTATTTTTATTATTCATAAGAAAAAGATAACTATTTTTGAAACTCACTAAGATTAAATATTGTCACATTACATGTAACAAATATATAACAAATACTTAATAAAATGATGGACATTTGTTAGACATAATCTAAAATATTTTATAACTTACCAAAATATCTTAGCATACGAAAGTAGATGCTTGATAATGTGCACTCTAAGAACATTACAATAAACACATATGTAAACAAAATATGATTCAGTTTGGCTGTTAGCCTTTTACAGGCTTTAATAATCAGTACATATTCCATTAATAATTGCATCACATATCACTCTTGTGTGGGTTAAAGAATAGCAATGAATAAAGAATGTTACTTCTGACTTTGAAAGCCTAAGGATTATTAATCTTCCAAACTGGCTGCCTGCAGCAATTGGAATCTGCGAAAATCATCGATATATCAGCAACACTTGCATAAACTTTGGGTCTAAACAGGTATTTTCAGAAATGAAATATAAAATGGTAGCATGTAAATCTTTAATATGAAAATTTATTCTGCAGATATTATTTAAAAGAATCTAATATATTCTGCAATAAAACGAAGTTGCTCACCAATCTCAGTTGAAACTTCCTTTAGTTTGTTCTGTGTACGCGAGATGAGGACGACATTCATGCCATATTTGGCCAGCTGTCTGGCGTATTCCTTCCCAATGCCGTCTGTACTGCCCGTTACCACTGTAAATGTACATACAACACACTCTGATATACATAAACACCAAATTGTTGCCTATGCGCTGTTTCCTGAAATATGATTAAATTGAAGTCGCTTGAGTGACAAACAAATTGAAGTCGCATATATATAGTATTAAGCTTTAAGAAACATGTCTGACAGGAAAAAGATTATTTGTATCCATAATCTCTATTATAGTTAATTTAATTTTCATTTTATATGAATTAGAAATGGGAACCTTTGAGGCTACTTTGAGAAATTGAGGCTACTAAATATGCTGGCGCCACAAGTTACGATCCACTTTTCCAAATCTCGTTGAATACTTCAGAGAACTTAGGCAAGACTGACTAAACTGGTAATGATGTTTAAAGTCACCACAGAAGGCCTGGCCTTTTGCCTTTACAGGATTTTGGTTAATTCATCCATCCACTGTGGCGGGGGGACAGGCAGCCAGTACACATACAGTACATGTTAGGGTTAAGTCGAGGTTTCCCCCCCTCCAGGGTCTAATTGCTGACCCCCCCCCCAGAATGCAACCCTACAACAAGCTAACTCCTTGGTACCTATTTACTGCTAGGTGGACAGGGTCATTAGATGATAGGAAACGCGCCTAACCATTTCAGTCCCGGGACGCCAGGGATTCGAACTCGGAATTTTCGATTGTGGGTCGAAAACGAACCTGATTGTACTTCCGGGACCCTAAAGAACTTTTACTTCAAGAACTAGTTCATTCAATTTTGCAACGTCTGCAGGTGTGAGCTTGGCTGTAACCTTATGACGTTAGATGGCCAGTGGCCGAGTTACCTGGCTCCATGCTGGGGCCGCATACTCCAGGATTGGTCTTACATATGTGGTAAACAAGGTTCTGAATGGTTCCTTACACAGGTTCCTGAAGGCAGTTCTGATGTTAGCCAGCCTTGCATACGCTGCCGATGTTATTCTTTTTATGTGGGCTTCAGGAGACAGGTTTGGTGATATTCACTCCTAGATCTTTCTCTCTGTCCGTTTCATGAAAGACTTCATCTCCCATTCGGTATCCTGTTTCCACTGCCTAGTTTCATTACTTTACATTTACTCGGATTAGTAAATATATATATATATATATATATATATATATATATATATATATATATATATATATATATATATATATATATATATATATATATAATAACGCTGTGCTCAACACAACTTGTTGTTGAGCCACACAATAAGTCACGATGACTGTGCACATTTGGGTACATTAACCTCCTACCCAAGATTTATAAAGTCTATCTAACCTAACCCAAGCCTCACTCAACCCCCCGAAGTAACTTGTAACACAGTAGTCTACCTCGTTAGGTAACACTCGAGAGGGCTCGGTCACATTCTCAAGAGGCAGGTCAGAAGCATTAGGCTAATGTTTCCTTTAATCTAATGCCTTTGCTTACGTGGTAGTAAAATAGGTTCCTGGGAGTTAGGCAACTGTTTTGGGTTGCATCCTAGCGGACTATGTCACTATATTTTCCAATAAAATGATAATAATTATTATCATTTAATAATTATTTGATAACAGGTCCTGTTGAATTTGATATGAAGCTCTCTTACGCCTGTGGAGCTCTTTCACGCCCAAAGGAATAATAGCTAAAATTAACTTTAAATTAAATTAACTATAAGAGACGGTCACTGACCTGCCCACTTGCCATACGTGTCAACCAGCTTCTTATCAAAAAGCCGGGACCAGAAGAGTGCTCGCACGCCGGCCAACACATCCCACAGTATGTAGACTATCACTTTAGTGGCATAGAGCAGGCCGACGATGGTTAGGGTACTCTCAAGACATCCCAGTCCTGCCAGCAAGCCTCCTTCAACCATGGTGTTTAACTTCCGTCTGGCGCTGCCGCGTTATGAGTTCGATATATGACTTATCGTTCATAGCGTATTCATGCATGATACAGCATGAGTTGCCACATAGCAGTCTTCAGTATCAAAATAAAAAAAATCAAAGCTACAAACACGATAACCCCGAAGAGTTGTTAGCTTTAGCATTTATCACCATTCAAAGTCAATTATTTGTACCGTATTGTTAGATTAAATCAGTGTAGGCAATTATATTTCCCGCAGTACAGAGAACTTTGCGTCTGGCAGCGCTAAGCATGTAACGATGCCAAGTGTTGAACTCTTGTTTTCGACATATAATTAGTATTTATAAACATATTAATATGCACAATATATGTAATTTATACTTTGTTTTCGAGGCGTTTACACATATTACGTTATATTAAGTTATAAAGCTGAGTTACCTTGTATATAAATTGTATATTGCTCACGGGTGTATCCCAACACGAACGCATGTGAAGAGATGAAGGAACAATGCAGGAGAATTTGATAATATAAACGCATGAATTCATTCCAATTCATTCATATGTTGTGCCTCTGTAACTCTTCCCACCACCCCCCACGGGATGAGTATGGAGTGAATAATAAATAAATGAAATGAACAAAATGAAATGGTCCCGCTGGCCTCCCTCCCTACACGTCTCGTCTCTCTCTCAAGATCACTTCACTCAAACCTCCTCGATGACCTTGAGACGGTGAACGAAGGCCTCGCGGGAGGTGTGTATGATAAGCAAATACTTGTGGTCCTTCTCGAACCTTTAGTTGATGTAATTTATTAAACTGTGTAACCAGCTTTTTAAGTGTAACTTGCTTAGCTAAATGAATTTTGGGGTACAGTTCATGAGCCCATATTATGTGCCTCTGTAACCTTTTCCACTTCCTGGCAAGACCTGGTCAGAGACCGGGCCTCGGGGACCTTGACCCCCGGAATTAACGGACGGTAACCGCCTACAGGCTTGGTATGGAGTGCATAATAAGTAAACTAAAGTAAACTGTTCGAGTTTAGTTTAGGGAAACTATAAATATTGCTGGCCTGTTAACAGCGTCACCATAACGTGGGACTCATATTCTACACGGACATCCTTCAAATGATACGCATACAATTTAATACATCTAATGATGTTTGATAATATAAGCTAGGCTCTAGGTCGGAATCAATTCTGGTCTGAGTTCATTTGGCAATGTTTCCGATGTTTAGCTAATTGTTTGTCCCTTGTACTATATTTATTCGTAAAAGATGCATGGTTAACCGATTAGGCTGGGCACTTAATTAAGGCGCTCTGAGAGTTGTGCTATTTTTTTTAAATTAGGCTATATTTTTATGTTTTGTTTTGTAATGTTTTCATCACTGTGTTTTGAAATGAAAATGGTTGTTTGGGAACATTTTGACATTGACTTTACCTGAACATTTATAAAAACAACAAAATATGTCCTTGACAATTGCACTATGAAGTTTTGCCGAAACCAGGTGACAAGTGCAGTGGTTAAGCGAACACCAGAAGAACTAGATTCAGCGCTTTAAATTATGTTTAAATAAAGGGATTTCCCATATCCACTCGATTGGTTAAACTCAATCTAAATACAATAAATAACAATAATTGTGTGGGACCATTAAAGAATCCTATGATTATTCAGGCTACTTAAGAACAAAATTATTATAATAATTTCCCACATATTTACCTCACCAATGAAATATCATGGTATATAGGAAGGTTATATAAACCAGTATAATTAGCTGCATTTTTCCTCATTATAATTAATTTTATACCATGGTTTTAATGGGTTGGTAAAAGCAGCTTTAGTCAGCCGGCATTACCACAATTCATTCCCATCCCGAACTTGCAAGAAGCTTATATAGCTCCTCAAGCAGTATTAATAACATACTACACTAGAGCTAATCCCCATTTTGTTTTTTAATCTTTTTTAGTTCAAACTATATATATATATATATATATATATATATATATATATATATATATATATATATATATATATATATATATAATAATTAAATAGAGACTAATATTTTTACCACAACAATCAGAAAGTATTCTTTAGCCCTAGACATAAGTGAGAATTAAATTAAACTCAATCTCTATACATCAATAAGTTAGGACACTTCTCAATGTGTATATTTTTTAAAGAAGTGGACTGCTCCTCTCGGGGCACGGTGAGCGTCCACCATGACTGTATCATAATCATAACATAAGCATTGTATTGAGGGATAACTGAAGGTGGTTTGCCATTTTCAACATGGAGTCGAGCATCAAATACGCTTCTGGACTAATGAAAATCATATTGATATTATATAGGATCAGGAAAAATGGCGGGAACCCTTGACAAGACTTTGGCCTCTTGTCCCCATCGAGGCCACTAGATAAATAGTGGACATCAGGTATATTCAGGTAAAACTTAGCAATTTTATTATTTGTGGATATTTTGTGAATTTTGCACTGTACAAATTTATAGACAGTTTCGCTTATGTGAAACAATTTACAAGTTCAATATAATGACCAATAAATAGAGAGAGGCAGTACCTTAGGGAAAATTTAAACTCGGCTACAGTACATGTTTATTTTCCGCATGATACATAGCTTCAGGCAGTGCAGTGTTAGCAGGGCCTTGGACACGGTGTGGGGTAACTGGTTGTGGTAGGATATGGGGTTAGGCCGTGTGGATGACAACAGTAGATTATGTGGATAGGCCGGGTAGATGGTGCAGCATTAGGATAGGCAGACTGGGTAATATTGAAGGTATTCAGCCCATGACAACCAATAAGCCGCCCCACACCGGTGCGTCTGGCAGTCCTGTGCGGGGACAAGCTTAAAATGGTCTCGTATATGGAGGTTAAAATGCTAAATGTGTTCATCTCGCTATGTTGAAACAATTTGAAAGTATACCAGTTATTAAGAATTACCGAAAGGCCTATTAATGTCCAAAGGTAAAACTCTATATACGAGATACATTTAAGTTGTTTACAAGGCTAAGCCGCGCAGGGCCGCGAGGCTATGCAAACCTACCGTCACCCGATATACACAACTAAGGTTCAAACATTCCTTGATACCCTGGCTCTTACACTCACCAACCTCACGTGAGATAACTTCCTCATATATCTCTTCATGATACTAATCTAACATTCGGTATGTACAAATTTTCAAATGGGTTTTCAGGTCGTCAAGGTTCTCAGAGACAATAATGCAATTTGGAGCCCTCAAACTCACTCTGTCATCTGTAATTGGGTATCATCCCTCGAGAAACTCGTGGAAACGATTCTCGGTCATTCAGAACATAGGAGGTACTTAATAGTATGGGAATATCACAAAAGGACACTCGATCGTCATCATAGAACACTACAAATAATTATACAATAGTCAGAACTAAACATTGGACATGTCTATGTGAGGTAAATAAATAGATTTTATTCCCTAATAGAGAACAAATCTGAATAATTTCCAATCTAAGCACAATTATGAGTAAACTATACAACAAGGAGGAAAAAATCAACAGAACATAATAACTAACCCAAAAATAACAATATATTTTATCATCCAAGATTTAAACATAAAGTCAGATGGAAATTCACAGCGGTTGAGGTGATTTGTTAGGCTAATAAACAAATGGATAACATTCACATCATTTGTGATTTTATAGAGCAGATGAATGATGCACTGTACAATTAAGACTTCAGTATTAAAAATCAACCCAACGATTAATTGGGTGGTGTTTCATTGCCCACGCCAAACCCGGACTCTTGTAGACTGCAAGGCATTTATGGCAAGTGAATCGAAGCCTCACACTTCTACGTGGCGAAGGTTACCGGCGTGTAGAATTTGTTGTAGGTGCCCCAGCCCTTGGCGGCGAGGTTGAAGCTGAGTGAACGACGCTTGTCGGACTTGTCCTCACCCGCGAAATCCAAGAGGGAGTGGTGAGGCACTGCGGACATCAGGGTGTGAATTATTTTTTTGTTTACAAAATTGCGGAATAAAAATAAACAAGCAATTATGCAAATATGTTACTGATGCGTATGAAGCTCGTTAATACAAAACTTTACTGCAGCATCATTATAGCATGTGCTGTAATGATGCTGCACGGAAATAGGAAAACATATTCAGTAATATGAATATGCATACACTGAAGCTTATACTAGTGTGAAGCTCCTCATACAGTAACACAAGCACTAGTATGAAGTTCTACACACGACACAAACACTAGTATGAAGTTCCTCACACAGTAACACAAGCACTAGTATGAAGTTCCTCACACAGTAACACAAGCACTAGTGTGAAGTTCCTCACACAGTAACACAAGCACTAGTGTGAAGTTCCTCACACAGTAACACAAGCACTAGTGTGAAGTTCCTCACACAGTAACACAAGCACTAGTGTGAAGTTCCTCACACAGTAACACAAGCACTAGTGTGAAGTTCCTCACACAGTAACACATGCACTAGTATGAAGTTCCTCACACAGTAACACAAGCCCTAGTGTGAAGTTCCTCACACAGTAACACAAGCCCTAGTGTGAAGTTCCTCACACAATAACACAAGCACTAGTGTGAAGTTCCTCACACAGTAACACAAGCCCTAGTGTGAAGTTCCTCACACAATAACACAAGCACTAGTGTGAAGTTCCTCACACAGTAACACAAGCACTAGTGTGAAGTTCCTCACACAGTAACACAAGCACTAGAATGAAGCTGCTCAAACGGGAACACATGCACCAGACATATAGAAAAATACACGATTGACAGTGACAAAATACAATTCAATAATCTCTGAAGAATTCCTCATCTGATGTATTGAATTCACCCACAGTAGTATTGAGACTTTTAAATTTAAAGGTTCGGACACAGTCATCATTTAGTATTTCGTAATATTGGATCTCAAAACAAAAGAAAAATCTTCTATTTGGTGCATGGGCCGGAAGTATTTTACCAGTCACCTCATTCACGAGGATTGAGTCAATACCACTGACCAAGTGAGATAAAGTTCATCTCCCACATTTGGTTGGGTACTTGTGAACCAATTTGGCTTCTACAACAAGATGGTGGGGCATGATTATTTTCCGAGATATTTTGAGATATATTGGACATAAGTTAAAATGTTCTAAATAACGTGTGTTAATCACAAACTTGCTTTGTTAGTCTAGACGATTGATCAGACACTAAACAATGACAACATAACTTTTGAATTAGAAGGACAGCAAAGTATTCCAAAGATACCAAAAGTTACTTAAGTTATTAATTATTATTAATATAAATTAACCTATACAAGAGTTACCGTTATCTACCATCACAAAGTACTGTAGTTATTTTACAGTATCACAACACACCACAAAAAAAGAAAAAACATCTAAGTAACCACAAAAGTAATCGTATAGCAGCCCTTCCTCAGGGTAAAGGGATTAAATCATTTCACCAACCTCACTCACACACCACCTGCATAGTTATCTAAATATTTGTGATGGTCTGAAAGCATATTACTGTATTAATAATAATTTACTTGCACACTGGCAAGTGAACCTTTGTCCTAAACAGAGAATATTATCAAGTTATAACTTTATTTTATTATAAATCGATGGTTTACATAATATAAAGTCTGTGGTTAACTCATATTTTTTGTATCGGTCTGAAGCCTAGGTTTTCTTTCAAATTAAATTCTAGACGATTTTAAGATAGTTTTCGAATTTCTTATTTCACATTTTTTAGAATAATACACTGTTTTAGCATCACCAAACCTAACCTAATATAACCTAACAACGGAAAGGTTGGTAGATTATAGCACTAATTACGTAGTGGTTTTGCAGTGATTACCTCAAGGGTACAAGTACAAACCCTCTGAGGACAGGCTGTATAATTATGTAACCCAAACTTACCATATTGTACACCAAAGTAATCCCAAAGACTAAGTAACCATAAAAATTACGCTGAAGTAGACCATTGTTACTGCTGCGTAACTTTTTGTAATGTCGAACATACTGAAAAACGCATAGCGATTTCTGAGCTAATTCGACCATGGTCTGGATATTTAATCCTAACCTAAGGATTGTGGATATGTTAGATAGCGGCCCATGGGGGCTCTGAGTTATTTGGATACAGTGTAAATTAAAGACGTAATGAGCTCTGTAAGAGTTATACAGTGAGCATTGTTTTATCCTGTATTCAAGTAGTTAAGTGTTTCAATGCAGTGCAGTTCAATTGCATTGAATTGCTTGTTCTCTTCTCTCTATTAACCCTAATACTGTTGCATTCCCTATCTGCGATTTCCTCTTGTGTTGAATAATGCCTTATGCAATTTATCCTTAAGAGTTTCTATCCTTTTTTTGTCATACACAGTTGGGCGTAGAACTTTTATATAGCCTAACAGTTTATGGCTTAGGCAGACATTTGGAGTAATTTCAATTTGTATTCAACTGAATATAATGACGCTTACTTAAAATTTGTTTACATACATCAGTTGGAGGAACTATTGATACCCCACACGTTCTTATCACACTCCACAAACACAAGGCTTGCTACACACTGCCTGTTGAGATGACGACTTTTTGGTAGTCATCAATCGTGCAAATATATAAGCTGCCAGCCCTCATTTTATAATAGCAGTAGGCTACTCCTTAGCAATTGTGAAGTAATTTGTTGTAATTTGGTGGTACTTTGTGGTAACGCTGTAAGACAGTGTGATGTCAATTTGTACTTTCAAGTACTTTGTGAAAACTGTGCAACACGCTGTGCCAGTACTTTATATATGTTTTTTGTCACTTGAAATTATAGTGTGGCACTATTAAGCCAGCAGTAGACTTTAGGTATGTTCACGGTAATTTATCTACAGATATCCCACTAGCTAACCCTCCACGCCTTTTCAAACAATCATTTGAAACACCTTAGAAACAAATAAGAATGATTCAATAATTATTTAACTAAGCAATTACAACACAATAAATACAGGAGAAGAACTGTTCTAGAGTAAGGTAATTATAAATAAATTTAACAATGCCACGGTTGAGAAAACGTAATAAAATATAAATTTCCTAATTTTGAAGAGACACGGGCCGGTAGTCTAAGACCTGTCGAGCATGATGGCATGTGCTCTCCTCACTGTTGTAACGTAAGCGTTGATTAAGTAGAGAATTTTTCGCTTACTAACCCACTAGAACAGTGGCTAAGAAGTGAAATAGGATTTGCGGCCCATTTTTCTAGCAGTTAAAAGACCTGCAACACTTTGCTATACTTTCATAATTGGAAAATGCTCTAATCAGAATACTCCCCACTTGCTAATTTTCGATGATTCAGATTTACTGATATACAGAATTTAGGTTCCGCGATCAACTGGCTGGGAATCTCTGCACTAGAGACCAATTTTCCCTAAGCTGACAGTAAATCACTTAGGGATGCAAGAAATAACGCAAACTTAATCGATCTAAATCTTAATCATCGAGGGATGCAAGTCACAGTCTCAACGATAAAAGTTATTATTTTTCAACCGTTAAACAAGTTTAACAAAGAAAGACTCAAACTTATTTCCGTCAGAGTGAAGGACGAGACACACTTACCGTCGAGGACCGGTGTGGGCGGGAGAGAGGCGCGCTGCACCACCTTCACCTCGGCAGTATAGATAGCCCCGGTGCCTGCGGACGGAGCGGGAGGGTTGGTCCCTTTTGACAGCAGGAAATGTGGTGAAGGTAGTGTGTTAATGGGCTCTAAAGTCATCTCAGTTAATACCATGCTCTTCTTATGGTTAGCTAAGGCAATCTCATCAACTACACTCTCTCGATCTCGCTCTCCTTGTGCCTCTTCTCCTATCCTTCTCTTCCCGAGTTTTCGAACTTCCGCGTTCGTCACCACTGAGGCCTGAGCTACCTGCTGTGACTCCATCTATTGATTTGCAACGAACTCTGATGTTTCTGTATTGCCGTTTTACTGGTAATACCTTACTCATGTTTGCAGGTAATGATGACGTTAAAACGTTACTGTTTTCTGTAAACAAGAACGATTTTTTTAATTTTCATATATATGAACAACCTCATTTTCGTTGTCATGAAACATGGTTTCAAATTCTGAAAAACAGTGCCGCCTTCTTCACGCAAATGTAGATGCAAAGTGTCTAAAATATTCAACTTGTCATTTTCCTTTTTAAAAGCGCAAAAAATCTTATTTTCAGACAGAACTGTTGACATGGTTTCGTTGTTTCCGTAGTGTGAGGTAAACACTAGTTTACTTTAACCTACAGGTAAAAACTTGGGATGATATACAATTAATTCTCCACTTGCACGCGGGTCATCCTGTGTGTCTGTGGTCTGATCGAAGACTTGGAGAGGCATATCATGAATGAAAAGTGGTTCCCTGCCTTCTAATTCTTGATTAAGAGTAGCACGTGAGACACTGCGGTAGAAGTCCGGAGGTTCGAGATCATCCACACTGAGGCTATTTACCACAGTCGGTAAATTCTCAAAACTTGCTTCCATTTCGTGAACAATTTTACTCAACTCTTCCTCGTCTAAAGATTTCCGTTTTTCACCTGAGATTGTAATGCTTGGGATCTCCTGGGCTTTATCACTTGGGGTATTATTCTGAAGACTCGGTGATTTCGACTGTAAGATGTATTCCTCACACAGAGATAACAGCTTCGAATGATTTGAGTTAATCTCTGAATCCATATATTTGTACTCCAGAAAATCATTGTTAAACACTTTAAATACGAACTCGCTAGTAAAATCTGTAGGGCATTTTTTATTTATGAAAATTTCTTATCTGAGCTGAGCTCATTTTCTTTAGAGCGAAAGCTTTATATTATTTCGTTTTCCAAAGTGATTTTATAATTTATGTTAGAATCAGCAGGGAACGCCGATTGATTTTTCTGTTTTCCTTCAGCGTTATTTGTCAAAAATGGCTCATTCTCAGATTCAGCAAGTTGAAGATCGAGTATTTCCAAGGTTTTTATAATTGACTCGTTGGGCTGCAAGTCAAAAGCAGAGAAGCCTAAGAACGCATTCTTGATCTTTGGAGAGTTTAGAGGAAGTCGGGGAGCGGTGGCGAAGTGGGTGATGCCCCGGAGGAAGGCGGGGCACGTACGTCCAGAGATTCATCTTTAGAAACTAAATTATGTGCGCAACATGCAAGAGAAGAGGCACTACTAAACTTGGGTATTTGCACTACGGGAAAACTCAGTAAACGGCATGCAATAGAGAACGTGACATGCAAGTGGGCTACGAGCAGGGAGGATTGAGACACAGGCAGGTGGCGGTGAGGGACTGAAATGCAAGATATTTTTTTGCAATTGATGGGATGAGCAGAAGAGAGGAAGGTCGTGCTGGTTTGTTGTCTTTATAGTTGCTGCTGGTGCTGTTAGTCTTGCTCGTGCTGCTGTTAACCCTGCTTTTATGATTGCTGCTGCTAACGTTGTTGTTACAATTATTATTGCTACAGCTGCTGCAAGCAGTAAATATATTGTAGTTGCTGACCTCTGGGTTCACCCCTTGAAGATCCAAGGCTGCAGCCTCATCTGTCGTTAGTGTTTTGTGGAGTGTTGAGTCGTGAAGGCTGTCTCCAAATTTCAGGCAGGCTTCACTAGTGATGAGCTGTGGTACACTCAGCTCACTACTCGACTCGTCGTGTAAGTTTGTCGTGTCGTCATTCAAAGAAATGGCTTCAGGACAGTCAAGTAACATGGACGAAGGAAGAGTTTCAGGCTTCTGCTGCTCTGTAGCAGCGTCAGACTCGACGGAGGACAGGCACACGTTTGTGGGAAAGGTGGAGGGACAGGAGCCAGGGAGGGATTCAGAAGACACAAGTGTGCCACTAACAGTGGCAGTTCCGGGATTGGGAACAGGCGAGACTGGCGAGGCAGATGACTTAACAGGAAGAACAAATGGAGATGAAGCAGCAGAAGGAAGGACTGAAGGAGCAGAATAACTGCCACATTTCTCGCCAGAATCAGAAGCAGGATGCTGAATACTACTGATGGGTTTTGGGGAGAAACCACCAGCGTAACCAGATACCAGAGCTAGCTTCACTGGTTTATATTTAGGTGAAGCAGAAGGAAAACTTCCTGGAGATGAATGTCCTACAATGAATGGCTTGGGAGAGTTTGCAGCTGTAATTAGTTTAGGAAAAACTAAAGAAGTTGATGAATTAGAGGAGGTAAAAGAAGTTGTTGGCATAGCAGAGACTGAAGCATTGTATTGAAGGTTAGAGGCCTCTGGAAGAGAGTAAGATCCTATTCCTGTAGAGGTCTGAGTATGGGCAGAATCTAAGGTAGCTTTGTGGTCATGAGAGAAAAGAGAAGGAGAAGAATAAAGTGGTGAGAAAGTCTTGGGCGAAAATACTAGAGGAGAGTTAGTTTTGTTGACTGAAGGAGGAACAGGAGAGCAGAGAGTCCTGGAGGAGTTGGAAGAGACGCGGAGGCCTGTTGGAAGCCTCGGAGTGCCACATCCAGAGGGTGTTGCCCCTTGCAAGGATTTGGACTTAAGAGGCGTTGGTTTATAGTTTAAAGGTTCTAATTTAGGCTTGGAGGATTCTGACTTAGTTGGTTGGGTCAAGATCTTTGTCAGGTCTGGGAGATTGAAGGAGCCTGTAGACAGACAGTGGAGGGCAGAGATGAGGAAGAGATAAACTATAATGCCAAGAGATACGTAGTATTTTTCACGTCACATGAAAAACGTAATTGTCATAAAAATTCGAGATCAACGATCTTAAATAAAAATAAATAGTATTTTCAAAGCGTGTATCAGTTATTTAGTGTCATGTTTGATGACTGCTCTGGGGGTATGTAGGGATGGCATGCGGTAGAGATGCAGCATGAAGGCACTCAACCCACTCTGATAGCAGTGCTTACGCACCACACACACTGTAGCATGTACAGGGTAACTCTACACACACACACTGTAGCAAGTACAGGGTAACTCTACACACACACACACACTGTAGCAAGTATAGGGTAACTCTACACACACACACTGTAGCAAGTAAAGGAAAACTCTACACACATTGTAGCAAGTACAGGGGAACTCTACACACACTGTAGTAAGTACAGGGTAACTCTACACACACTGTAGCAAGTACAGGGGAACTCTACACACTCCGTAG